TAGTCATATCTTTCCATGCTGGCCAGTGTTTTGGTCTATAAGTATCACAGCTAGGTGGGACTACTGATGGCTTCTCTTCCTTGGCAGCTTTAATAATACCTTCTGGTACTCTGAACATTAGTTCTCAGGGAGGGGGTTTTCAGGTGAAATTCAGACTGTGTCTTCTGAGTTTTGTGTCTCAAGCGCATGCTGTCTCCTGCAGTGGGTATTTACCTTAAACTTCTGGGAGACAACCTTGAACATAAGCAGAAGCCTGATTTGAGACTCTCTTAGACTTATAACAACCAATGGCTCCAAAATTGGACTTATTGCCTACTCAACAGGAGGAAAATTATGTCTCGCACTGGAAACCGTACCAACTATCCAAGGGTAGTAAGGTCATGGATTGTAGAGAACATACTACCACTTGTTTACTGGGCCATCATAATTCCTAACTATATTCCAACTACTTAGCCACATAAGTATAGATCACACCCCTCAACAGAGAAATTTCTCTTTGTAGGAGATGGAGACCATTAGAGAAAAGCACTGGTAAAAATATAGAAAACAAATGACCATAGGGTGCCTAATGACTACATGCACAAAACAACTGGTGTACTTGAGGTTCAGAAAATACAATGGAAGAAGGATCAGAAAAATGGTAAGGAACAGGGGGGCAGGAAATCTGATGTGAGTTTGTGCCTTCTAAAAATGACCAAGAAGCCACACTCATGACACTTCAGCAATATGGCTTCCTAAACATTACCCAGCCAACTACAACATTAATAGGCAAGATAATATGCAAGTAAGAAATCTCAAGGAGTCCCCAGACCTTGACAAACAGATACAGATACCTAAGAACTACTGAATTAGAATTCCCCTGAGATGATCCTTCTATTTGTTCATCCAGTGTCAAGTGGTCTGAAATTGCATATGTCTAAATCATATGAGATAAACTAGGCAGGTTATATTTATATATTTATGAAAATTATATATATATAGATGTGTGTGAGAGAGAGTGTGTGTGTGTGTAACAATCATAAAGAAATAGGCTATAGATTTGAAAGTGAGTAGAGGTGGGATGGGGATTTGGAGGAAGGAAAGGTGAGAACTTATATAATTATATTTTAATTAAAATAAAAATAAACAAATTAAGCATAAGCCACTATAAACAAACTCTCATTTATAATTATTACTTAGATAAAAGCAAATTTAGTCAAACTCCTTTATTCATTTGAGTAAAATGTTAGTATTAAGTACATGTTGACCATATTAAGTGTTGATGAAATTTTGAAATGAAAATTGATGTAACTATTTTAGAAGAATTTGATATCTTTTTACAAAAGTAAACATATAACTGCCCTGTGGGTCACCCAATTGATTTCTGAGTATTATTTATTTAAGAGAAGTTAAATCATATGTGCAGATGAAAATTTTTGTATTAATGGTTATAGTATATTTACTAGCCATAGCCCCATTCTGAAAGAATAAATGTCTCTCTGAAAAGTGAGCAGATAAATAATTGTGATACAAGAACACAATGGAAAACTACTTAACAATAAAGAAGAAGGAATTATGTAGTAATCTATATAAGAGTTTGGATGGATATCAAAACATTATGCTTAGTGAAAAATGAAAGACAAAGAAGCACAGATTTTATGATTCCATTGCTATAATTTCTGGGGGGAAAGGCAAACTAATCTACATTGACAGAAAAAAAAATCATCAACTGCCTAAGTGGGAAGCATGGGAGAAATATAAATAAGTACAAAAATGCCTGCATATACATCAGTTTGGTGTCTTGAATGGAGGTACTCTTATCTGTAGATGTATATATTAACAAATTTGTAAAATCTTAAATATATATAGTTCATTGCATGTAAATTCTAGTTGTGTAAAACTACATATAATCCATCTACCTGATCAATGCAGGACTGATTTTCAAAGGAAGAGATATTCAGGTAGGAAATGAGAGTGCCTTGAGCTGTATTGGAAGCAGCCAAATTAAGAAAAATAAACAGATGTGTGAAATATTTCAGCATACACTCATAAGAATATGTAAATAATCACCATATTCTAAAGGTTGCCTTGTTCTAGTTTTACAGAGCAACATCCAGGGAAAATTCCATTCTAAAAGCCCTCTGAATTTGTTTGAGATACTTACTATGAATTCAAAGGATCTGGGAGAACACCATGAATTCTAGTCAACTGCTATAATTATTTCAAAGGGAAAAAAAGAGTGGGAGGAAAGAAGAGAAAAAAACATTGTTTAAGTACTAATTTCTATCATATTCTTCAGTCGTTGTCTCTTGATCATAAAAGAAAAGTTGGGAAACCAATATTTGAGTTGGGGATCAGAGTACAAAGCTCAGATGATGGGAATGCCCATAGTATGATCATAGTAGATAACTTTCCCCATCATGATAATATAATTGGTGAGAGTTTCTTTTGCTTTAGAAGTTAATTTTTAAAAAATTGAGAAGACAACTCAATTTGGAAAGATCTTGTGTAGTAAGCATGAGGGCTTGCGCTTGACCCCTAGCACAAATATAAATAAAAAGCCAAGGAATGACACTGCACACTTTGAACCCCAACATCACAGAGGCAGAGACAAGTAGATCTCTGAGGCTCATTGACCAATCACCTTAGCCTATGCAAAGCCTTTTAGGCCAGTGAAAGACCTTGTAAAAAGAGACATGTTGAGTGTAGTCTAAGGAACAAAAGACATACAGGCATCCTTCGTAGTCCTTTGGCTTTTACCCATAAGTGTGTGTGTGTGTGTGTGTATGTGTGTGTGTGCATGTGTGTCTGTAAACGGACATCTTTCAAACTTTCAGAATTCTTCCCTATTTGCAATACAATGTGTTTCTTTCCACTGTCACACAGCCTTCTGAGGGGAGATATTTTAACTTCAATTTTCTGTGAGGACAACTGTAAAGACAACTTCGATGTTGTGGAAGCAACATAAACTTCAGACTATTTCATTCCTGGGTTTGAGTGTTTATTGCTCATTCACTTCCTGGAAGGTAAGTTTTTCTCACATTACTTTTTCTGGCTTCTTTTCTACAAACTCCCCTCTTTCCTTTGGTGAATGTTCAGTTGTATGATTAGTGGCCTCTTTCACCGTCAATCTGTAAACAAAGAGTTCTCTTGGCTCTGAGACCCATGTTTATTTCATTTTACCATCTTGCCAGTTGATTCAATTCCCTGTAGTTAAAATAGTGAAAAATCTTTGGTAGATGTGAAATTGTCATGCCTATCCAAATAAAGTCTTCAAAATACCTGTGCATTTCAGCGCAGTACACGACTGAAAATGAGCCATTTTTCAGTTTGACAAATTTTTAACAACTTTGATTTTTGCCTTAAGGAGTGATTTATGAGAGTAAGAAAGGAAAACAATACAGTACGGGCAGCAAGGCCTCAACTGGTACGCTCTCAGCAGATAATTTTTCACCTGGGAAGGTGGAAGCACTCCCAGGTCATTTTGTCCTAAGAGATTACTTTACGACTATTTCGACTATTTCTCGAGAGCTGTGGAGCTGCTGAGAGTACAGCTAATGCAGCAAAAGAATGGAGAGCGGCTTTCCATTCTATTCGTAGAAAAGGTCTGACAGTGCCCTTGCCTCACTTGTTCACGGGTGCCACGGAGTTGATCATCTACCCTTCTTTTCCCTGCTGAGGTTTGAATTAACTCATCTGGCCAAGAGGAAACTCTCAGTACAAAGGATAGCGCTTTACCCTCACCCTAGAACCCTATATATGTGGAAATATCAGGTGGGATTGTGGTGTCCACCAGCCCCAGGATTTGGGAAGCTGAATCAGAAGGATCATGAGTTCAAGACTTTTCTGTTGTTAAACAAACAAACAAACAAACAAAACTGTCTCCAAAGAGAGATAAAATCTTAACAAACAAAACTCAAAAATAAAAAAAGCCAATTACAATGTTTCAAAAACAAGCAAACAAACAAACAATCAAACAAACTCCCTATGCCTTCTGGGACAGAGACCTTGTCCAGATCCAGAGTTAGACACTATTTACAAAGGAAAGGGGGGTGGATCTACAGCCGGTCTATAAGAAAACCTGTGTAGGTCTATCCTCTACCTTTCTATTGCTCCCTTGCCCATACATTTGGAGTGTTCCTCACCTTCTCTTCTGCCTGTCTATCAACCCTCCATAGCAATTTCTCTATGTAGGATGGTATTCAGGAGCAAACAATTTGGAAATCTCAAGGCATCTATATACAAACAAAACTTTGGACAAAACCAAAGGTGCATTTGTTCATGGCAAGTGCTTCTGACATTTGTGTTTGCACACTTGTCTGAATGATTTTCGTTTTGTTTTGCTTTGCCTTTGCAAGTTTGGGGAAGAGAAGTGAACAGCGTCAGTTACAGGTAATTCCCAATAGGAAGAAGGGCAGTAAATAAACCAGAAATGACCTTTGGTTCCTTAGGCCCAGAGTTCCCCGAGCAAGTGGCATAGTGTCAAGAATTCCTATCTACCTTACTGGGGAGTCTCAAAGGTTTCAGCAAGTATTAGCTTGGCTGCCGTTTGTTCTATAATTTGTTGGGACTCCCCCTTCTGCTTGTCTGGGTAGCCCCTGGAAAGAACCCCTAACTGCTACTGGTAGCTGGTACTTCTAGTGCCCCTTCCTCCTTCTCCCAACTACAAGAATCTGTTTTGGGATTGGGTTTAGGAAGGAATGAAATCCGGCCTGTGCTAGCCTTTTACAGAGTCGGTAGACTTGTCTGTTAAAAATCACTCCGAGTTAAAGCTTCTAGTCTGAAGCCCAAAACCTGACTCCCGAAAAACAAGGGTATTTGGGAAAAAAGGGTCCTCGGAGGCTACTGCTAGTCACTCCCGCCTTCACCCATACTACACAAGCACTTCGTACTTTAAAGCCACCCTGCGCTGGCTTGCGGTGAGAGGAGGGGAGAAAGGAAAGGGGAGGGGAGGGGAGAGAGAAAGGAGGTGGGAAGACAGGGAGGCCGGCCCGCGGGGGCGGGACCGACTCACAAACTGTTGCGTTCGCTCTCCACCTCTCAGCGCCCCCTCAGAGTCCCTGGGAGCCAGCCTGCTGGGAGAACCGGAGGGTCCGGAGCTAACCTGGAGGCTGAGAGGGCATCAGACGGGAAAAGACTGAGCTAGCCACTCCAGTGCCATACGGAAGCTGAAGGGACACACCACACCAGCCCCAGCTCAGCGACGGCCGACGCCTGTTGCAGCGCGGCGGCTTCGAAGCCGCCGCCCCACTGCTGCCCTTTCCTCTTCGGTGAAGTTTGTAAAAGCTGCGGGGGACTCAGAGGAAGTGAAGAAAGTGTCGGGTAGGACTACAGCTGCCTTTGTCCTCCTCCCCTCTACCCCCTACCTCCTCCTGGGTCCCCTCTCCAGGAGCTGACTAGGCAGGCTTCCTGGCCAACCCTCTCCCCTACACCCCCAGCTCTGCCAGCCAGTTTGCACAGAGGTAACTCCCTTTGGCTGAGAGCAGGCGAGCTTGTTGCAAGGAAGGCTTTTGGGAGCACAGAGACTGAGGAGCAACAGCACGCCCGGAGAACCCCGGATTCCAGGTTCTCCCCCTGCACCTCCTCCTGCCAGCCCTTTACCCTGTGTGTGGAGCTAAAAATCAAAAGATGAAAAGGCAATCAGGGCTTCAGTAGTGGAAAGCAAAACAAAAGCTAAAAGAAGCCAAAAGGAAAAGAGCCCAATTCTTATTTGCACCTGCTTCAGTGGCCACTGAATCTGGAAGGCAGAGGATTTTCCTTTCCCCTTGTCAAGCTTTGAACATCTTTTAATCTGTTCTTCAAGTATTTAGGGACAGACTGTGGAACTAGCTGGGCAGATCCTGTCTAGCGCTTGCCTTGCTTTACAAGATACTTTGAGACTATCTGTGCGCTTTTTTTTTTTCCTCCTGCAAGTTTTCTTCCCTGGAGCTTCCCGCAGGTGGGCAGCTAGCTGCAGCTACTACATCATCAGTCAGTTGAACTCTTTAGAGCAAGAAACAAGGAGGCAGGATAAGGGAATTCAGTGGAAGATACAGACAAGCTCAAGGATGGAGGTGCAGTTAGGACCGGGAAGGGTCTACCCACGGCCCCCGTCTAAAACCTATCGAGGAGCTTTCCAGAATCTGTTCCAGAACGTGCGCGAAGCTATCCAGAACCCGGGCCCCAGGCACCCTGAAGCCGCAAGCACAGCACCCCCCGGAGCCTGTTTGCAGCAGCAGCAGCAGCAGCAGCAGCAGCAGCAGCAGCAGCAGCAGCAGCAGCAGCAGCAAGAAACTAGCCCCCAGCAGCGGAGGCGGCTACAGCTCGGCGAGGATGGCTCTCCCCAAGCCCACATCAGAGGCCCCACAGGCTACCTGGCCCTGGAGGAAGAACAGCAACCTTTACAGCAGCACTCAGCCTCCCAGGGCCACCCTGAGAGCGGCTGCCTCCCAGAGCCTGGGACTGCTACAGCTCCTGGCAAGGGGCTGCTGCAGCAGCCACAAGCTCCTCCAGATGAGGATGACTCAGCTGCCCCATCCACGTTGTCCCTGCTGGGCCCCACTTTCCCAGGCTTAAGCAGCTGCTCCACGGACATTAAAGACATCCTGAGCGACGCCGGCACCATGCAACTTCTTCAGCAGCAGCAGCAGCAGCAACAGCAACAGCAGCAGGAGGTAATATCCGAAGGCAGTGGCAGCAGTGTGAGAGCAAGGGAGGCCACTGGGGTTCCCTCTTCCTCCAAGGATAGTTACCTAGGGGGCAATTCGACCATATCTGACAGTGCCAAGGAGTTGTGTAAAGCAGTGTCTGTGTCCATGGGACTGGGTGTGGAAGCATTGGAACATCTGAGTCCAGGGGAACAGCTTCGGGGAGATTGCATGTACGCGTCGCTCCTGGGAGGTCCACCCGCGGTGCGTCCCGCTCCTTGTGCGCCACTGGCCGAATGCAAAGGTCTTCCCCTGGACGAGGGCCCGGGCAAAGGCACTGAAGAGACTGCTGAGTATTCCTCTTTCAAGGGAGGTTACGCCAGAGGGCTGGAAAGCGAGAGCCTGGTCTGCTCTGGCAGCGGTGAAGCAGGTAGTTCTGGGACACTTGAGATCCCGTCCACTCTGTCTCTGTATAAATCCGGAGTGGTGGATGAGGCAGCAGCATACCAGAATCGCGACTACTACAACTTTCCATTGGCTCTGACCGGGCCCCCGCACCCCCAGCCCCCTACCCATCCACACGCCCGCATCAAGCTGGAGAACCCTCTGGACTATGGCAGCGCCTGGGCTGCTGCGGCCGCGGCGCAATGCCGCTATGGAGACTTGGCTAGCCTGCACGGAGGGAGTGCAGTCGGACCCAGCACCGGATCGCCCCCAGGCACCGCCTCTTCTTCCTGGCACACTCTCTTCACAACTGAAGAAGGTCAATTATATGGGCCAGGCGGCGGGGGTGGCAGTGGCAGCCCAAGCGAGGCAGGGCCTGTAGTTCCCTATGGCTACACTCGTCCCCCTCAGGGGCTGGTGAGTCAGGAGGGTGACTTCTCTGCCTCCGAAGTGTGGTACCCCACTGGAGTGGTGAACAGAGTGCCCTATCCCAGTTCCAGCTGCGTCAAAAGTGAGATGGGACCTTGGATGGAGAACTACTCCGGACCTTATGGGGACATGCGGTAAGTTTCTCCTAAAATTGCCGACTTTTGACAAGGGGCACAGAGCAGCAGTTAGCGTTTTGGGGGATCTAGGCAATCCCGCCCAAGGGAACACTGCGAGGGCTTCTAAAACAGCTCAGTTCCGTTCTATAGGAGGGACTGTCCTACATCTGGAGCCCTCCTGGGGACTGTCCTCTTGTGATGTTCCACCTAAGTCGAGATTCCCCTACACTCCCCCCACCACCACCCAAATGCCTAAATCCCACATTCAAATCTTTCTGATATTCCAAGTACTAATGGTTCCACGCTGAAATCCAATTGCATGAGCCATTTTCAGAAATGACGCTCATAAGCCCTTCACTATTTCCCCCTCCTTTCCTCAAAGTTCTAGAAACACGATCAAAAACGTGGCCAGTTGGGTCTGCTAGCACCCTCTTGTCAGTGCATGGTCTTGGCATAATAAAAGGAAAATAAAAAGCAAAAACAAAAACCGATTTTGGGCCCATATCCTTCAAAGAGAGAAATTCTCAGAGAAAGAAAAGCCGCTGTGTCTAGTTAGTTGCTAAGGGCCCCGGTGGGAAGGAGTGCAATTTCTTCCCTGGAAGCAACTTAACTGGCTGCTTAGAGGCCAGCCTAGAGAATTCAACAGGGCACTTTTAGAACAGGTAGATGGGGTAGCTTTCGTGGTAAGCACTGGGCAAACTTTGCTCTCATGCATTTCTCAGCATTGGTTGATTGTTGGGAGTAACTGTGTGGGCGTTTTCCCCTTGGAAAGTGTTTTATTTTCTGTGTAGATTAGGAGATATCAGAAGTCTCTATCTCATGCTTGCATTCGACCTTAAAAGAAAAGAATGTACTTTAAATGAATAATTTAACCAGTTTTGATTTTGACTCACAAGTGTTGCAAGCAAAACAAAACCGTAAACCATGTCCTGCTACTTGAGTGTGCTTGGATATGTATAATGGGGATGGAGGAGGAAAGTACCTCATTACATTTTTCATTTTAAGAAGATTTTAAAACTTGAGTTGCTCATGACAGCCAAGTGCGTAAAAACTGTCAGTGACCTATGAACCATAATGTTGCCCCACAGTTCTAATTAGGACAGGAGAAAAGTGGCGGGCAATTCCCTCTTATTAAAAGTATTTACTACTGCTTCATGAGCCTTGTGGAGACTAGTTGAAAAGTTTTCCCCACCAACTTAAGATAATTTTTATCTGATAAGATGGAGTATTGGCTTCTTAATTAATGCCTAGGGTTTAGTTTCCTGAGGTGCTCATGCTCCCCATGAACTTATGTCTGTTTCTCAAATGGTTTTCTTGCATTTGCGACAGCCCTCAAATTTCTTTGGAGATGCACCGTAATTTTGGTGACTTAATTCTAACTTTGTATTCTTTTATTGTTCATGGTTGTTAATACAGTGTCTAAAAATGAAAAAAGATAGATTTTTAAAAAGTACTCTTTTCTGAGTTATTGAAGAAACAATTTCTTATCAAGGTTTGTATTCTATTTGGTTTTTAAGGTTTGTCTTACAGAACTTTCAAAGATTCATTTTATATCATTAAAAGTTTTTCAGTTAAGTTAGAGTGTTTATTTTTGTGATGCGTTTCACTGTGGGATAAAATGTCTTCAGTTTATTAGAATAGATTTACTTGGTATGGTTAATTATTTCTAGGCTTGTCAACTAAAGAACAGAGTCCCTCTTTTACTACAAACTTTTCTTTGGGTGGGAATGTCTAAAGTGTTTCCTAACTTAGCGTGATGCTAAGGCTAGGCACCTGAGCCATCCCGTCTTCTGGATACCCCATCCTAACTTGCTCACTTAACAAGAAGGAAAGGAATAGTTCTCTCTGTTTGTTTAAAATGTAGCTTTGAAAATTTAGTCTGAATTTCCACCAGGTGAAGAAAAACACTTCCTAGAATTTATATAGTGAGTATTCTGATTTTATGTCAGTTCTTAATGGGAGGGGTATCTTCTCTGTTAGGATGAGTATTATACTTTGAAGCCTCATGATACTCTTTAAATTGTTGAGCTCAACTACTGAGAATTTACTAGAGCCAATGAAGTTCTGTCTAAGTGAATCGAGTCGACAAACTCCATTTGTAAGATCTAGAAAAGTCATTTGAGTCATTTTGTTGAAAATTAATCAGCTGATCTAATCAGCATGCAAACAAACTCTAAAATGGAAATACTTTATTACTTTCTGTTGTTGCCCCCTGACTTGGCAGGCACAATTAGATGAAAGGCAAAAACTTTTTAAAGGCAAGCCCAGAGCTCATTCCCTCTAGATGGCATGCATTGTGTGCTGATTATGAGTTTCAAACCTCAAAATTCTGGAAGCGTCTCATAACTTTTTGGGTTCCTCCTTTTTTCAATTGTGTGTGATCATGAACATTATTAGTTCTACGAGAGAGATTTTTTTAACTTTTAACTGAAGCAGCAACATTTCTACCAAGCAGAAAGCAGAAGCTGAAGGTAGTCCTATTCTTTTTCTACTTAGTTTAGCATATGTTTTGAACAGAAGGAAAAATAAAAGTAATGGGTCATGTTTACAAGCCTGATGATATTTTATGGCTCTGTTTTCTCTTAGAGATCAAACAAGACTACAACTTCGCACCACAATACTGTGGCAAACATTGATCCTTACAAATTAGATCCCTAAAGAGCCCATGCAAGAATTTGAATTGGAGTTTTGAGAAATTACTCAGAAGCAGAGTGAAAATTAACATTTTTTTTTACTTTTTTGTTCTAGCATTCACAACAGGAATTATTTTAGTGGTGCTTCGGCACTGGCGAGTTTTGCCAGTTATTATTTTTTCTTAAGTAGGGGATTTTATCATTTCTCATTTCATCTACATTCTCCTTCCTAGTTACCAAGGCATTTTTCCCAGCTGTCATATAAGGAGTGGGTTGAATGTTTTCTTTAGCAAAATTTTGCTTTAGGATGAATGATTTCTGCCTCTAAGCTTTCATAATCAATATACTTGAGAAGGAGTGTCTGTCCTCTATAGTCAGTAAACATACAATGAGTTCTTCCTGGGTGCCACTCATCAGACCCTGATGTTAAATAGCAAAGTCAGTTGGCATTCCACTTGAAAGTAACCACAGAATGCAGCCATGGCAGGACCCTCTTGTGTAGGCTATGTCTCTCAGCTTGGTATTTTCAGTAGTAAACGTTTTCCATGCAGCTTAGAGATTTTCAACTGTAGATTTGGTTTGGGGTACTTTCCTGGCAGTGCTAATTTTACTTCAGAGTTTCATTTATTGAGCTGATACTAGGAAATAATATATTGAATTTACTGGCACATTAAATTTTCTTTGTTGTTTTTCCCTCACTGTTTTAATTTTTTTTCATCTGATTTACATAAATCCTTTTAAAACAATTTTTTTTCATCTCCTGATTTGTACACATACAGTGGTCACTCTTGGTGGTATTCTTGTGTTGAACGTGGACAATTTATTATTATTAATTATTTATGGTGATATTATGATCATTGCTTTCATTTGGAGCTCTGTTTAAGCAAGGAAGAGAATGCAGATTAGATGGAACAAAGCAAGAGACTCTACTTATAATCACATCTGAACTCAGGATACTGAAAAATAATAATAATGAAAAGCAAACAAAAAATTACATTTTGTGATGTTTGTAAGGGCGTGGAAAGGAAATATTTCCCCAGCCCCCAACTCTTCCATTTTCTCTTTGTCTGCAGCTTCCTCAAATGCTACCTATGCCTATTTCTCATTTTTTTCACTCCTTTCATGCCTTTGACATTGAAATATAAACTCTTTCTACCTCTCAGGGTTTGTTTTCCTCATTGCACCTGTGGCATGCCCCTAAAGAATCTTTCTAATGAAAATCTGCCAGGTAGAAGATCAGATGAACCCAGTACTTCTCTTAAGAATAGATTTCAAGAAGGAACTGTAGAAAGAATAGCCTCATAGCAGGATATTTTACCTTGAGATTAGAGAAAGGATCAACAGTTGTTGAGGAACTCATGTGAGAGAGCTTGCATAAATTGAAGATTTACTAAAATATTTTGCCCCCATCCTGGATGAAAGTGTGTTTGTGTGTGTCTGTATCTGCGTCTGTCTGTCTATAATATAATATGGTATTGCATTGTAATACTGGGGTTTGTATCCAGGGCCGTACGCACTGAGCTATCTACACAGCCTATCTTAATCTGTGTCCTTTCCCCTCTGTTGGCCCTATTGATATTCTCTAAGACACTGAGAATAATTATATTCTCCCTTTCCCAAAAACTGTCTGGATCAGTATCTATTCATCTTTTGTATATGTCTAGGTCAGCACTCATCTTCAATGAGGGTGCTCAGACAAGATGCAAATGATCATTGGTAAACAAAAAAAAATAGTAAGAAAATCACTATCCTTCAGTTACGCTGTCAACACTTCATCAAGTTCTGTGATATTCATTATCCTTATCCTAAACACAGCATTGACTTTTAAATACTGACTTGTGAATTACTACACAATTACCCCCCTTTGCTGTCCTTTGTGGTACATAATTGTACATTTTTATGCATATCCAGTATTTTCCAGTTTATTCGCTAATACTCACATAACTTCAAGTAAGCCAGAAAGGATTAATGTTCTGTTAACTCCTTTGCTCATAGTCAGAATATTAGAAAGTTACATTTTGTATACCTGTTGACCATTTGGGGAACCCTCTCTGAAGTAGAACACAAAGCTTCTGGAAGCTTCTTGCCAGACTCTAAAGTTTTAGATGTTAACTCAGCAAAGGTAGCATTTAGTGTTTTCATCATGGAGCTGAGAGGGCACAGATTATGGTTGGCAAACTCATGAATGATGTAGCTCTTCTCTCTCACACTGACTGCTGCAAGTCTGCCAGACACATCCGAGTTGAGAACGCCTCACTCGGATAAATTTATAACATTAAAGTGCTTTTGGTCAATAGATAATGTTGCCAACTTAGATTATGTAGTAGTATCAGAGTTCTATTTTGTCAACAACACCTTAATTGAGACATAATTCACAATCCATAT